CGCCTGATTGCCAAAAACTTGAACTGTATTCCATCGTTATCCAGGTGGGCGTCTGATTGCTAAAACTTGAAACTGTATTCCCTCGTTATCCAGGTGGGAGCCTGATTACCAAAAACTTAAATTGTATTCCCTCATTATCCAGGTGGGTACCTGACTACCAAAACTTGAATTGTATTCCCTCGTTATCCAGGTGGGTGCCTGATGACCAGAACTTGAATTGTATTCCCTCATTATCCAGGTGGGCGCCTGACATTTCAACAAAACAAAAGAAATTTTTCTGCCCCAGATTGGGATCTGGGCATATTTGTGAGTGTTAAGCGGATCATGTTACCTACAGAGCTCTAAGAATTTAAAAGCTGAATCCCATTATCCAGGAGGGCCCTGAAAACTTCAAATTAAATCTCATCTTAAGAGTGATAACTTTAAAGCTAAATTATATTTTCTAAAGGGAGAACTTACACTAAAACTTAAAATTAAATCCCATTATCCAGGAGGGTCCTGAAAATTTAAAAACTAAATCCCATTATACAGGAGGGTCCCGAAAATTTTAAATTAAATCCTATTATGCAGGAGGGTCCTAAGAATTTAAAAACTAAATCCCATTATCCAGGAGGGTCCTGAAAATTTAAAAACTAAATCCCATTATCCAAGAGGGTCCTGTGAACTTTTAAAATTAAATCCCATTATCCAGGAGGGTCCTGAAAACTTTTAAATTGAATCCCATTATCCAGGAGGGTCCTAAGAATTTAAAAACTAAATCCCATTATCCAGGAGGGTCCTGAAAGCTTTTAAATTAAATCCCATTATCCAGGAGGGTCATGAAAACTTTTAAAATTAAATTCCATTATCCAAGAGGGTGATGAGAACTGAGAATGAACTTACCTGAGCCATGCTCTCATCTTGGAGGATTCTGAACAGAATTTCTTGCTCTTTGAACCATGTTTTTCCATGGTAGGTCCTTGTGGATTAAAAAAAATTCTTGCCCCTGTTTCAGAAAAATCTTGTTAGTTTGAAAACGTGGTGTTTAGTTTGTGGCATCATTGCCGAGCGTCTGCTTCCGCCACTTGCCAAGATAACTTTTGATTTTAACTTGGACGACCTTGACTGTTATCGACTGCCAATTTTCTTTCAACCTTTATCACAGAAAACACCTCTGCTCCATTCGTTCCCAACATCCTCTATTTGTTGCAATTTGCTCATGAATTGACATTTACTGAACCCTTGCATTTCACATGAATTCCAAAGCATGTTGATTGTTACCAACTAAATGCGCATACCACTTTTTCCTGACTTATGCCACTTTGATGTGCTAGCCAGACTCCGCTTTGTGCAATTGAAAAGCTGGTAGTAGATTTTGAAGTCATTTCTTTATTTGTTCTGACCAAATAGACGCAAGAAAGAACTCAATCAAAACGAGAGAAACAAAATAAGGGACAAGGGAAAGAGATGATACCTAACAACAAAATGACGAAGTAGAAACTTATCAGATGTGGATACCAACTCTAATGATCATGACATGCACATTTGGATTAAGTGGCCTAATCTCTCAAGCAAGTCTAATATTCAACTCTTGTTGTACCTCCTCGCTGTGAAACTGGGCTTCAACGCTTCAATTGTCTCATTTGATCCACAATCCTCAGTCGACTTGTAGTGCCCTGAAGGTTTTCACCATCAAGCTTATCTCATTTTGCTCTTTTCTCAACTCACCGTCACCTTACGGTGCCCCTGAGGGTTTTCACCGATAAGACTCTCTCATTTTATCATTTTCTCTCGTTGTGGTGAGAACAACGGTATTACCCATGATGCAGGGAGCTCATACCCACACACTTGATTTGGCATCCTTAACGATTGGTCAGAAGGTCTTTCCTTGGACCGTAATGTAGGCCTTTGGACAGGGTTGGAAAGAAAGGATGGTATGAAGGCTCAAAATAATTTAAGATGAAAAACGTTCAAAATTACAACTTTTGGAATCATTTCTTTTGGCAAAATTAAAACTTCTGCCCCAGTTTCTGGAGTCTAGGGATTTTCTTGCTTTTTTTTTTTGGATTTTTATTTTGAGGGGACTTCTAAGAAAATCTGCCCCACTCTTGACTTCGGGGAATTATGACATATTTTATTTTGTGTGACCGAACCGTTAGGCTGCCTACATATCTTATGGTGACAAGAATCAGGTCGAACGTAGTTCAAACACAAATTTAGTTTTTTTTCTTTTCCTTTTCTTTTTTTTCCTTTTCTCTTTTCCTTTTTTTTTCTTTTCTTTTCTTTTTTTCCTTTTTCCTTCTTTTTTGCTTCTTTTTTCTTCTTTTTTTTTTCTTTTTCTCTTTTCCTTTTTTTCTTCTTTTCCTCTTTTCTTTTCCTTTTCTAGTTCCTAGCTCTATTTCTAATTCCAAAAGAGGGGTATGAAACAAAACAAATTAAGGCTAAAAAGGGGTAGCAAAAGATAAAAGTGTTTGGGGTAGCAGAATAAAATGCCTCCTTCATACCAAACTTTAAAAATGCCAAGTACAAACGTGCAATTGAAGAAAATCAAAGAAATCATGCACAATATCTATTGATGAAATCATCACAAACAGAAAGCGCCGACGGGCAATACCTTTGTCCCAATGTATGATCCTTGCCAGTTCGAAACAGACTTGACTCAACCTTATCTTGATGTGGAAGAATGCATTTCAGCACTGACTGATTTACCTCAAACTGCTTGAGAGACATTTCCTTGTTGTATGCCCTTATCAACCTTTTGATTTTGCAGACTACTGCCTCAGTTTCACTCAATTCAAGCTTCAGGTCATCTCAGAATGTGTGAATCTCTACTTGTTTCCTCAAATGCCTCTTTTATCATATTCAAAACCGTGTCATTGCCTCATGATTAAACTAACTTTCAAGACCAGGCTGAGAATTATGCGTGCATGCCATGTCACTAGAGTCAGGCTAAAAAGGACTATAAAAGGAAAAGTAACCTAAACAAAAACTGACTAGAACTAATAGAAAACAGGAAGTTGCATTAGACAGATGGTGAAAAGGGTTTGAACAAAACAAGCAAAATAGTCATGGGTTGCAACCCTGGAACAATCCTAGATAACACTAGACGAGTTACTACTACTAAACGAACTAGGAAAATAAGAAGCAGAAGGGTTTGGGCCAATAAGACAATGTCTGGATTGCAACCCCAAAAATAACTTGGACAACAGAAATGACAACAAAGTAAACCACCAAAACTCCTCCCTGGCTAGCCAAGAAAGGAGTGTCTTTCCAATTACCAAGCTCGACATCTTAGCCACTGGGTTGCGCATCAAAATTACTGGGACCTTTACCAATTTCAATAGCATGAACTTCAGTCGGAAAGTTCCCAAGAGGATTCTTATATTCCCTGTCACCACGTATCTTCCCCACAAAGTGTGCATCATTATGTGCAGGTAAAGGATTCTGTGCAATGTTCTGGGTGTCACTGCCTTGGACTACAATTATCCCATTTTAAATCATTCTTTCTATCTCCCTTTTCAAAATACGACAATCTTCAATGTTATGCCCTTGGACATTAGAGTGGTACATGCACCGTCCAGTAAGATCAAAACCTTTTGCATATGGGTCCGAAGTATAGCTGATGAGCGGCTCAATCATGCTAGACTGTTTTAACTTTTCAAACAAGCTTATGTAGGATTCTCCGATTGGAGTGAAAGACTTTTCTCTTTGCTGCTGCCTTCTCATCTTGTACTCCGGCCTTGGTTAGAACCTCTTTCGGGTAGGGGGTTGATATGATTGTAGAGGTGGGTAAGACATTTGTGGATGCGTTGCAAGTCGTTGCGGGTTTTGTGAGTGTGGAGCATATAACGGTGCATTGTAGATAGAGTACTGGGGAGGTAAGGTATGACTTTGGGGATTTTGTGGAAGAAAGTAGCATTGGGGAGCATTATTTGGAGTACGAGGATATTCATGGGGTCGGTATTGAGGCTAAAAGCGTTTAGCAGGAATGCCCACTGGATCATGTCGTTGGCGAGGCTCGACAACATCTTTTCTATCAATCGGAGAACTGACCCGAGCAACTTGTTCGTTCCATCTGAACCAAAACTCCCTAAAACTTTCCTTGGTTCTCTTTCCTTGGGCATCATGGACTTTGAACACAGTCTCGCTAGTGGATCGAGGAAGAGTAGTTGGTGGAGGAGCTACAAAAATAGGAGCAGATGCCGGAGCAGGGTATGAGGTTATTTTGGCTGGTGGAGCATAGAACATTTGGGAGGAAGTGCTAGGGTAATTGTTGTAAGGGGTAAAACCCGGTGCCAGTTGAGGGGAAAGGTTGACGGTTGTGGGAACCTGGGCTTGTGATAGTGGTGGGATGATTGCAGGGTTTTCAGTGTAGTTAGTGGGGAATGAAGGTGGAGGATGCCCCTTGACCCAAGACTGATATATTTCTGCCATCTGTTGTTTCAACCTCCGAACCTCCTCTTTCAGTTCCGATTCTGATTCTACAATCTCCCTTGGTGGGTGCACAACCTCAGTGTCTGTTTCTTTGCTAGCCATGATTGACTTATGCTTTCTGGTGCTGTATGGACGAATCACCAAAGTGCCACAAACTAACCACCCTCTGTTATAATAACAATGAAAGTAACAAAGAGGAGCAAAACAAAGCCAACATGTTAGCGTTAGAGCATTTATCAAATAGAAATATCACATTCCGTGCAATGCCCCTAGCAACAATTAACGGTTCTAGAATGACTTCGAGGGTACGAAGGTCATATGGCATCATCCCAATTTCACTCTTCTTGCCCCTTTTCCTCTTCATCTTCCTTACTAACACTGCTTGGTTTTTCATTTCTTTTCCCCTCTTTTCTTTCTGATCATCGCACTTTTCTTTCCTCCTATTTCTCACGTTCCACAACTTCATTTTCTTTTTTTCTTTTTTCCTTTTTTTTTCTTTCTTCTTTTTTGTTTTTAATAATGATTCGATCGAACCCTATGTGTTGCCTACGTATCATGTCCCTCATGAATCAGATCAAGCGTAGTTCTGGAAAAAAATGATGGATAAAATAAACTAAAACAAATCTTTTAGATTTTCCATTTATAACTCTTTTTTTGGTTTTTCAAATACAAAAAAAAAGGAAGTACTATAACAAAAGACTCGACAATCTTAACTAGACTGACAGACTCGATACTACTGTACAAGACTAATAATTAAAAGACAACATAAAATAGACTAAAAAATAAAAAATTTCCTCAAGCAGCTCGTGCATGCAATGGTCTTGACTAGAATGGTCCTGGGGTATTTGTCATGATCAAATCCTGGTAAATGAATCCATACCTGAATGAAAAAAAATAAGACCAAACAGATTAAATGACTCGAGACACTATGTGAGACCACACCTCCTATTAGACACATGCAAGACAAGCTTAGGCTATTTTTGAAAATTAAACTACATGGCCAAGAGTGGCTATTAATGCAAACTCAACAATATTGACCTCATGGACAAGGAAAATGCCTCACTAAGGCTTCTATGGATTCAAACTACGAATATCATGGCCCAAAATTAATTTGTGAAAATGCCCCATTTTGCAAAAATGATCGATATGGCCCGAAGTGGCTGAAGATGCAAACTCAAAAGGACGGACCTTAAGGTAGTGGGACACTTAGTTGCGAACTCAGGATTCAGAGACATGAGTCATGAACCACTTTTTGCGAAAATGACCTATTTTGCAAGAATGACCGATGTGGCCAAAAGTGGCGAAAGATGCAAACTCAATAAGGACGTGCCTTAAAGTAATATGACTCCTAGTTGTGGACTCAAGATCCTAAGATATGGGTAATTGAACCACTTTTGCGAAAATGACCCCATTTTGCAACAATGGCCGACATGGCCAAAAGTGGCCAGACATGCAAGATTTGGCTAAGACCCCGCAAAGCCAAGAACCTAAGACTCACTAGGAAGACCGAACCCTATGTGGGTTGCCTACGTATCACATCTCGAAAGACGAGAATCAGGTTCGCGTAGTTCGGGAAGATTAGAGATGAGAGAAAGCTTAAGAAATGACACTAATTTGGAAAAATATATTTTTTTGTCTGTTGTCTTCTCTTTTTTTTTTTTTGAAAAAATGATTGAAAATGTAAAATCTTTTGGGATTTTCTTTTTCATTTTTATTTTTGAATTTTTTGGAAAATAGTGAAAAAGTGTAAAATCTTTTTTTTTTGGATTTTTCGTTTTTCATTTTTTTGAATTTTTGGAAAATAATGGAAAAGTGTAAAAAAAAAATTGGATTTTCTATTTTCAATTTTTTTTGTCTTTTCTTGAAAAAGTCGTGAAAGAAAAATATAACCGAGCCCTACTTGCTTCATTTTTCACCCTTCTTTCCCAAACATCGGTCCGCCAAATGACCATTTTACCCTCAAAGATGCAACATATATCACATGAGAATGATTGAATGTCTTTTTGGGTCACAGACCCATTTTGACAAAATTTGGATAGGCTTCCTACAAAGGGACACAGTGCCTGGGTCCGAGCCCTACTAGGTTCGAATAACATGATGCAAATAAAAATGACCTAAAGGCTGACCTAAGTTTGGGGTTCACTAACAAGGCAATTCGGGGGAGCGTATGGTCGACGATGGCTGCTCAAGCTTTCCACCCACTCCATACGTCCGACTGCCCCCCTCCTAAATTAAGGGTGACTCAACAAAGAGTTCGTGCACGCGACGCGTACTCCGAGACTTGTTGCAGAAAGAAGACCCATGGTAATGCAAATGATGACAGTTTATAAAGCAGTAACATATTAAGTAAAGCGATAAACAAATAACCAACAAAACAGGGAAATAAGGCAAACAAAGCAAATAAACAAAGCATATAAAGAAAACAAAAACCTCAACTGAATATCCTAAAAGCCAACAAGATCAAGTATCAGCTCGAACCTGCAAGGTCCCCAGCAGAGTCGCCAGAGATGTCACACCTTTTTTAAAAAAAAAACCACACTAACCCTCTTAAATAAATAAAAATTTTTTGTAAAGCTCAAAAGGGTTTTCCAATTAGAAAGTGACAAAAATTCGTGTTCAAAAGGATTAACTCAGAGTCGCCACCTGACATTTGATTTCGGTGTGTCAGGTCACCGTTTATTTAAAAATAATTTTTTTTCCTTTTAAAACACTTGAGACTCCAAAACTAAATCTGCACCAGAGATTCGGGTAAGGGGGTTCATTTGACTCGGGGAGAAGGTGTTAGGCACTCCCCAAGTCATGTGATAGTCACGGTTGCGTACTTGATCTAGTCGGCTTTTAAAATATTCGAATTGTGGTAAAAATAAACACAGAAAAGAAAAGTAAACACACAAGAGGCTCGAGGTCGTCCCCACCTAATAAAAGAAAATGAAAATAAAATAAAAATACTACGAGTTTAACTTTCGGCCTCCAAATACAAATACTTCGGGGCATACCCGGATAAAATATATACAAACCCTTCGGGGCATTCCCCGAAATATAACTAACTAAAGGGAACGACCTCTCATCTCGAATTAAAAGTGCATAAACGTCCTAATATTGCCTAAACCATGCTAAGCTCCACAATGAACCAGTGAGTAGAAGGCTTACCGATTCCAAATGAAACTTAAGCAATTTATTTTCATAATATTACTAACTCATGACCAAAACAATTACTAGCATTAAATAACCTCACAAAATCATGTCTTAAACTGGATATGATACTACTAGTTAACAACACCCTAATTTGTCAGCAGATAACAAAAGTTTGTAAAGAAAGGGAAAAGGAACGATTGGCACGAAGCTTATCTACCAAAAGACGATTAATCACTATTGGTAGAAAACATGTTTATGCTCTCATGACCTATATAAGCGCGTATTGGCGTAGATTTGCAAAACAGAGATTCAAAAATTTACCATTGGAGATTAAATTAAAGATTGAACTTGAACTGACCTCACCTAGCATAGCAAAGTATTCACAGAATAACAATTGAAGTATATTATGCAAGCAAACACAAATTACTCACATAATAAAAATCTGAGATTAAATTAAGAATGGAGGAAGGGGTGAACCTCAATGAGTAGATTTCCTTCAGATTAGAGAAGCTTCGAGTTTACAGTTTTGTCCGGATGAAGAGCAATAGAATTCGGCAACAAAAATTGAGTAGCAGCCGAAAAACAAATCAGCAAGAACGTGAACCGGATCCCGAACGACGACTGAGACCAGCTCGACCTCGTATCAATCAAACTTCGTTTTTGAAATAGAAATCCGATATTGAAAAGGAAAGGGATGGAAACATTTTCATACTTTTTTTTGTTTTCTGATTTTTAAAAATGGAAAATAAAACTTGAACCAAGAACTAAATTCAAACTATTTTTTCATTTCTCGTTCCAAGATTCTGTCACGTTTCCTTTTTGTTTTTTCGCTCCCTACCTCTGTTTTCTGTTCTTGTATATGTGTGTGTATGTTTCAGGTTGTTTTGTGAGGTGATATGCTGATGGAGTAAGTTGCTTCTGAAGGTGTGAAGAAGAAGAAGGAGTGTCGGATGTTGTTGTTGGAGTGTGCTTAGGGGTGTTTGCTGGTGGGAGCGGCGGCCGGTGGTTGTTCGCTGGTTGACAGAAGCAGGGGCCGTTGGTTTTAGGGTCTCTTTGGTTACTGTTGGTTTTTTGTGTCTTGGTTGAAGAAGGTTGCTTGTGTCTTGGTTGAAGAAGGAGATGGGTTAGGGCTTTTTTTGTCTTGTTCAAGAAGATGAAGTAGCTCCTATGGGTTTTTTTTAGGTCTTCTCCTAAAATAAATGATCTTGGCCCTTAGATAGGGATGAAATGAATGGCTTGGATTAATTTCTCAAAAATGGCTGATGGGTCAAAAGATTGGGCTCAGATTTGGGCTTCTATTTGGGCTAAAATTGTCTTTAAAAATGGTCCTTTAGCTTTACAAGACTAAAAATGTTGATTTCTTTCCTAAAACAATACACTATAAAATTGTAAAATCATTACTAATTAATTAAAACGAACTATATTATGACTTTGGTATTTTCAAGGATTATAATAAAAATGGGTAAAAAATAATATTCTTCTAAAAATACCCAATAACTTAATTAAGTAGAGAAAAATGAAACTATTTTTTTGTATTTTTTAATTTTATAATAAAAATAATGTAAAAGAGTCAAAATTAGTTGAAATAACTATATTAGACCTAAATTAAGTATTTAAGTACTAAATTATGTAAAATCTTGGGGAGGGTCAAAAATCACATGTCTACACTATTATACTGTTATGTGGATTCTTAAGCAATATTATGTGAGTAATGGACTATTATACCTAATGTTACTGAAAATGCATCAATGTCTCACGATACTACTCATCTTTATCCTTCGGCAAGCTACTATTTTGGATTTTCTATTGTTTGAATTTTCCTCCTTAAAGGAAAGAAAAGACCTACCTTCCACCTGAAACATAAGATTTAGAGAGAATAAAGAACAACTTGGGAATCAAATTCAGGAGCAACTTCCAGACATATTTTGCTTTTGGATTTTAATGCTTTTAACATCACTAGCTGAAGCTTGACTTGAATCCCCAAAACCTTGACCTACTGATTTTTGTGTTATTTGATTGGTTTTAGGTTATTTTTAAAACTATACAACTAAAATTTGTTCTGGAGCCAACTTAATCATTTCTAGGATGCCTAGTTACTAGAGTTTATTCCTGATTTCTTTGTTTCATGAATTCTTATGCCACTGCTCTCCTAATTGGGTGAGATGGACTAATAAGAAAGCCTAGTACAGTGTCTTAGTTGCCCTTTATTTCCTGACATACATAAAACCTCAAATGCCCTAACTTTCCATCCTTCTGTTGTATGGAGATGGAGCTTCCCATCTCTCAGATGTACATGTAGCATAGCAATTAGCAAAAAATATGACATATCTCTAATTTGTCCTTCAGGTCAAATTATTAAATTGTCTGACGCTTTAAATGCAAGAACATAAATAGTGTAGATGCACTATACTGGACTTAATAATAAAACGTGAATAATGTAAAGCTTAAGTTTGAGTTCGAATGTGTGTATACTTTGTTATCCTTCTATATTTCTTTATGGATGTTCCTTAGCTAAAAGCTTTTTACGAATCTTAGGATTTCTAGTCCAAGCTTTTCATTGGACATGGTGTGAACAAAGCAATTTTGTATGTGGATCTGTCTCTTTGTGTGAACCATCATTTTGCATATCTTTTGCATGTTTACACTATTTTTTGGTCAAAAGGTGTAAAAATAGAGAGTATTTGAAAAGCTGAACTTAGAGAATAAGAATAAGGTATACTTGATTTTGATCAACAAACCTACTTATTTGATAGAAAAATAGGTGCCCTTTGAATCTGGAAAGCTAGTTTCTTCAGTGAAAGCTTAGGGTAGTGTTTTGTAGTGAGTGTAGAAGAAAAGCTCAAACATTTTTCTTGTTATTGCCGGAAAAATTGTTATCAACAATATCAAACCAACATGTAAACTGATCTCTCCTGGTACATTTGATATGTAATGTGGATCCAATTTTAGCATATGCGTTAAACCAAATACAGTAATTAAGATATGATCAAAATGAATAATATATACTGACAACAGGAAAATTGAGGTTTATAGAAGATTGAGGATCTGAGAAGGAAGTCCAATGATGCAGAAATTGAATCTCTGTGAGAAGAGTACCATCAAAACGTTTCTGCTCTTGAGAGAAATGTATGTATGTGTTCAAAGGATGTTTCAGTTTGAACTTCCACTGCTGTAGTATGTACTTGCATTATGATTTAATCATCAACTGTTTTTCATTGCAACAATAATATTGTCACGATCTGGATTTTCCCACCATCGGGAGTCGTGATGGCGCCTACTAACGGAGCTAGGCCAGCCAAACTTTAAATATTCTCTGATAACTTCTCAACAATAACCATATATGAAAGCAATTAAATAAAAGAAATGGAAGACTTTAAGTTTATAAAACTGAAATTCAAATGCGGAAGTTTAAGATAAATCTCTACCTAAAATCTGGTGTCACTAACTCACGGACTGCTAAAGAGTGCTAAAAACAAGTATGAATGGAAATACAAAATATCTGTCTCAGTACAATGAAGACAAACTAAACATGGAGAAGGACTTCGGCCTGCGAACGTCAGCTAGGCTACCTTGAAGTCTCTGGACTGAAGTCATCTCCCGATCAATACGCTACTGCTGCGGTCTAAAAGCTGGTCCAGTACCGTAATCTGTGCAAAAAGCATAGAAGTGAAGCTTCAGCACAACCGACCCCATGTGCTGGTAAGTGCCTGGCCTAACTCCGGCGAGGTAGTGACGAGGCTAGGACCAGACTCCAGATAAACCTGAGCAGATATATAATATGTTGCGGAAAATAAATAGGAATAAGCAGTTTAAAATGGGAGGGGTACATGCTCCGGGGAAACATATCAAGACCAACAAAAGAAACTTATTAAAATATGAAAGGACAGCTCAATACCTACAACAATAGAATAACAATACTGTTGCAGCGCGCAATCCGATCCCTTATCATTTAACATTGTTGCGGCGTGTAACCCGATCCACATATATTTATAGCTGTTGCGGCGCGCAACCCGATCCAATTCATTATCCTGTGGTAGGCGCACCACCCGCTCCCATTTCATCATATCCTGTGGTAGGCGTACCACCCGATCCCATTTCATTATCTTCGATGAAAACAATCACGAACAAATCCAAATAGGGAACATAAGGAATATACTACTTCCCGGCAAGGGAGAAATAGCTATAACCAAACTTGTTACCACCTAACTACCTCAGCTACATCTAGACTTGTTACAACACCTAACTACCTCAGCTATATCTAAACTTGTTACAACACCTAACTACCTCAGCTATAACCAAACTCGTTACAACAGCTAACTACTTCAGCTATAACTAAACTTATTACAACACCTAACACAAAGAATCATCAACCTAAGCATCCGTAATATCAAATAAGAACACAATGCAAGGGAACCACAACTCAACAATAGCCCGGCAAGGGTGCAACGTGATAATCTCTTCCCTTTCTCACTTTTACTTCACAACTCCCTTCACCACTCGAGCCAANGCCCAAGTCCCATATTTTTCTACGGACCCTCCGGGACCGTCGAATCACAGGTCTGGGTCCGTTTACCCAAAATGTTCACCGAAGTCAATATTATGCATCTTAATATCAAAATTCATCAAATTTCTCACATAATTCGCATATTTCAACATAAAAGCTTTCCGGCTACGCGCTCGGACTGTGCACGCAAATCAAGGCAACTAAAAGCGAGGTTTTCAAGGCCTCGGAAGCACGGAACAAGGAAGAATTACGGTGATAACCCTTTGGGTCGTCATATTCTCCGCCTCTAAAACAACCGTTCGTCCTCGAACGGACAAAAGAAAGAAGTACCTGAGTCGGGAAATAAATAAGGATAACAGCTCCGCATATCAGACTCGGACTCCTAGGTCGATGCCTCAGGAGGCTGACCTCTCCACTGAACACGCACCGAAGGAAAACACTTCGACCTCAACTGTCGAACCTACCGGTCTAGAATAGCCACTGGCTCCTCCTCATATGACAGATCCTTATCCAATTGGACAGTGCTGAAATCTAACACGTGCGATGGATCGCCGTGATACTTCCGGAGCATAGATACATGAAACACTGGATGCATAGCTACCAAGCTAGGCGGCAAAGCAAGTCTATAGGCCACCTCTCCCACACGCTCAAGGATCTCAAATGGGCCAATGAACCTAGGGCTAAGCTTGCCCTTCTTCCCAAATCGCATCACGCCCTTCATAGGCAACACACGGAGCAACACTCGTTCACCAACCATGAAAGCAATATCTCGGACCTTGCGGTCTGCATAACTCTTCTGCCTAGACTGAGCTATCCGAAGTCTATCCTGAATAATCTTGACCTTATCCAAGGCCTCCTGAACTAGGTCTGTACCCAATAACCGAGCCTCTCCCGGCTCAAACCATCCGACTGGGGACCGACACCGACTACTATACAACGCCTCATACGGAGCCATCTGAATGCTGGACTGGTAGCTGTTGTTGTAGGAAAACTCTGCTAAAGGCAAGAACTGGTCCCATGAGCCTCCGAAATCAATGACACAGGCTCTAAGCATATCCTCTAATATCTGAATAGTCCTCTTGGACTGACCATCCGTCTAGGGATGAAATACTGTGCTCAACTGAACCTGGGTGCCTAACTCTTGCTGAACCGCTCTCCAGAAATGCGAGGTAAACTGCGGACCTCGTTCCGAGATGATAGACATAGGCACCCCATGAAGGCGAACGATCTCCCTGATATAAATTTCAGCTAATCTCTCAGACGAATAGGTGGTGGCAACTGGAACAAAATACGCTGACTTGGTCAGCCTATCTACAATAACCCAAACTGCATCAAACTTCTTCCGAGTCATCGGAAGTCCAGTAACAAAATCCATAGTAATCCTCTCCCACTTCCACTCGGGAAGCTCAATCCTCTGAAATAAACCACCAGGCCTCTGATGCTCATACTTAACTTGCTGACAGTTCAAACAACGAGCCACATATGCAACAATGTCTTTCTTCATTCTGCGCCACCACTAGTGTTGCCTCAAATCCTGATACATCTTCGCGGCGCCCGGATGAATAGAATACCGAGAACTGTGGGCCTCCGCTAAGATCAACTCTCGAATCCCATCAACATTGGGCACACAAACTCGCCCCTGCAATCTCAATACACC